GAAAGAGATACGGCACCCTTACCAGAGGATGCCAGGAAGCAGTGAAAGAGGCACTGAGCAGCAGCTACAGCACTGTGCAGGCAGACATGGAATGGGAAGCTGATCATGGCATGGGTACGGCTGACAACATCATTTGCTGGTGCCAGGTTCTTTTAGCCATTCAATAGCTGTATATCTGCATGGTGCTGCAGACCTGGGACCTCTGTCACCCCATCCTGATGCATTCCAGTAAGCAGCACTCTGCAGCAGGAGCTAGAATCTTTCCAGGAAGTCAATACTCAAGCCATTGTTGGTACCAGGAGTATTAGCCTGTCCTTTTGTCAGTCTTAAAACCCAGCCTAGCACTTAAAACCCAATCCTATGGGTATACTGAGAAAGTGAGAGGCTGTGGTGGGTGGGGATTGTTTCTCTACATTGGGTTTCTAAGGTCACTTTCCTGGATATGGGCTCTGCTCAAATAAAAACCAGGCCATATGCTCATGGATGGATGTCTGACTACATGCCTTGCTTCAAACCAGAATGCATTTTGTTTCTTGTGTACACAGCATTTAAACAAATGAAACTTGAGCAACAGCATCTATGTGCTCTTGTGTATTCCCCCCCAACATTGAATGCAATGGGACCTGTCTCCACTTCTCTCCCCATTCAAACAGTTTCAATTCTCCATTTACATTTCCTGCAAGCTTTCTGATTTGGTGGACTTTTTCTGACCTTGGAATTTAGAAACTTCAGTCAGCAACCCAAGCCTGTTAAGATTGTTTTGAAGCTCTTGGGCTAAGTCTAAGTGAAATGAACCATTCTCTGGAGACTTTATGTTGAAAAACTATCCAAGAAAATGCTCTCACCTGTCATCAAATGAAGCTGGATATCAAGTAACACAACTGGCAGGAGCTTGAACATTTTCCTAGACATATCTAAAAGACAATGTTAACTTCATAAATATTTTCAAATATGTCAGCAGGTCAGCACAGGCCAAAGTGTTTTGAAATGTTGTTGCTTATGAAAGGCTTCATCCTAATAACTAGTTTGCCAAAAAGTAAATGGCTGTTTCCTTCTAAAGTACTGCTTTAATTTAATCTTGCATTCTTGAGGGAACAGAATGTATGACATGCTATTCAGTGGCAAAAACATTTCGGTGTAAAATCAGTCCATAAAGTAGGATGGGGGGGAGGGAGTAGGATGGAAATAAAGCTAAAACCAGATAACTGCCCTTCACCCATCTCCATGAACATATATCTGAATAAGCCTCCAAGATGGTACCAGCCACATGTACTGTATGATGGTCTCCAAGAACAGTTGTTCTAAATCGATGCCACTTTGGACAATGCACATATTGGGCACTAATTCAGAGGTATCCCCTGGCCGCCACCAGAAGAGTCACAAATACTAAGGAAGAAAAATTGCCTATTTTTACAACATTTGCCACCAATAAATTACATGCTGACTTCCACCATCCAAGGCAGGGCTCTTAGTCTGCCTTAGCAGTAAGCTGGCCTTGCAGTACAGGAAATGTGGGACTGGGTAGTTAGGTGATGCTTGGCACCAACTGATCCCCGCCCATGAAATCTAGGATAGATAACCTCTTTATCAAATGTAGAAAATCAAAAGCCACCAGAAAATACTCAAGAACACTAGCCCCATTGGGACCAAAAAAAAAGATAAAGTCACCCCTTCGATCAATCTCTGTATAACCATTTAATATAGTAAGTTCTCTTTGTATAGAAAATTCAAAGAGCCTTAGACCTGCCCTATTAATACTGGTATCTTTTGATGCTCTTGAATACATTAAAGAGAATAAAGTATCATCAACATTAAAGCCCAACCAGGTGGACAGTAAAGCTTCATTGTTGCTTCCAACTCTGGTGTTAAAGTCACCTGCTAAAATAACCATCATATCTGGAAGACTCTCCATCGGTTCATCATATAACCCTACTAACATATTGCAGTTTTCATTCATGGATAGAATACCAGCATCTGGAGGTAAATAAGTTGAAATAAAAATCAAGGGGAAATTATCCAGGGTAACCAAAACAGCCAAAGCCCAATCATTAGACATCAAGAGTTGAGGTAATATTTAATGCTGGAGATTAGACATGCTAATCCAGCCCTAGGTCTCCTTCTCCTATTCTCTAAGGAAGCTTTCCTGGTGAATGAAATATAACCAGGAAGAGCAACGTAATTTAAAGCCCATGTTTCTTGAAATAAAATGATACTGTATTTGGGTTAGAAATGAAATAACATGTGGCATTCGACTTTTACTATTCCAGCCGGCTATGTTCCAACAATTTGCCTTGAGTGGTCATAAGTTCTCGCATTGTTCAATACCTAGGACAGCTGTTCCAGTGCTACCATTCTTAGGCCATATCTGGAGTATTGGTTCAAGGGGAACAGGGGAGCCCTGCTTGCAGGGGAGGTAGGGTTGCCAAGTCGGGTGTTGTGCCGCAGCGGGGGAATCCTGGCTGGCATCTGGAGCGTGCGTGCTGCACGAACGTCAACCAGAAGTGACGTGACGACGCCGGGCACACTGGGGCGGGGCCATGACCATCCGAGGGAAGACCATAGAGTTTTCCCTCGGATGACTGTGCCCCGCCCCCAGCGTGCCCTGCGTGGTCGCGTCCCTTCCGGGTGATGCGCACATCAGGGTGGGGCTCCCCCCAGGGCCTGATCCGCCAGCGGCAAAAAACGCGCCTCTGGGGCGGGGGGTTCCCTGCCCCCCGGGGGGACTTGGCAAGCCTAAGGGGAGGGTGGTCTACAAATCGAATATAAATAAATAAATAATTCATCTCCTCATTTTAGGGAAATGTAGAAACTTGTTTGTATTTGTGCCTGATGGAGAGCTTCTTAATTCAACAGGTCTATCTTCTTTTGGGCAGTCACGAGTCTGACAAGCTTCCTTTACCTCCACTAAGTTATTTTGTTTTAATGTATTAGATGCACTTCCATGATTTACATTTAATTTTCCAATTTTAATTAATTTAGCTAGAAGCTGGTGCATACAAACAATGATATTTGATTGCTCTAAAAGAGCCCCAAGTGATTTTAGAAGGCTATAATCAACTGCATCTAGATCTTTTTATTTAATGGACAGAGAGATAACGAAAGTTTCTTAAAGGCCAAATCAGTATTTTCCCTTGCCTTAAGCAAAGGCTGCTAATGGTTGTCTGGAGCTATGTCAATCAATAAATTCTCTTTCCCGTTTTGTCCCGGGGGTGGGGGGGAGATCCTTAGGCCTATGTAGCTGACTATGTTCAGTAGTTGGAACTTTAAATATCTGGGGGAAACTGCCATGGGAACACAACCATTCAAGGTTAGGCATAATCTGAGATGGAATATTGGGCGAAAAAAAGAGAAGCATCTTTCACAAAATCCATCTGAAGGGGGCATAGCATTAATAAGTGGGCCAGAGTCCAAAGGGTTATGGTCTCCTACCAAATTGCCCTCCTCTTCTATAAATAGGGGATCTTCAATACTATCAGTACTCTCTTGCAGAGCTTGAAACCTATTATGAGTCTTAACATAGAATTTTTAAAAAGTCCTCAGGTCTACTTTGTTTGGGGAATGGCAGAGGAGAGTCATCAAGAGGGCAGCCTCTTTTCTTAGACATAATAAGCAGGGCTATTTTGGGGCAGGAACGCACAGGAACGGCGTTCCGGCTCGCTCCCAAGTTGGCCACGCCCAGCAGGAACTCATTAGCATAGTAGGCCACACCCAACAGCAGAAACTCATTAGGATTGGCTACATTAGGGGTGTGTGGCCTAACATGCAAAGGAGTTCCTGCTACAAAAAAGCCCTGGGTTTTGACAACAAACAAGGTAAACAGAATAACAAGCAAAAGGTGGGTGTGGCTGGATAACCACACTTCTGGTAACATGGGGGTGCATCCTAATGTGCTAATGAGCTGTGCTGGCAGGGGTGTGGCCTATTATGCTAATGAGTGCCTGCTGGGCTTTTTCTACAAAAAGAGTCCTGATTATAAGTAAATAAATACATACAAATTAATTAAAGTAATTCATAACAGAAAGTAAAAAAGAAAAAGAAAAGATTATAATTTACTTTCTGTTACGAATACAAATACAGGTACACATACTAAAGCAAATTGGTACTTTAACAAGGCAACCGTAATGGGCTTTAAAAAAAGAAAAAGAAATAAAGAAAAAAGGTAATAAAATATATATAATGCAGATCTTCTATTGCTTACCAATACCAACCAAACTTCCCTCCCTCCCTCATCCCACATGGCTAATTAAGTTAAAACTAAGGTTTGTGTCTTCACAAAGACTCCTTGATTAGAACGGATATGGTAACACTGAACTACAGCTTTTGATTTGAAGGATTACAGGCATCGTTTGATTTGTTGTTGTTGTTCAGTCGCACAGTCGAGTCCGACTCTTCGCGACCCCATGGATCATCTCCCTCCAGGGTATTTGAGCTTCAGTTTCATTATCTGGCCTTCCAGGGAACAGTCAGGGTTGATTTTTTTTAGGATTGACTGATTTGATCTTCTTGCAGTCCAAGGGACTCTCAAGAGTCTTCTCCAGCACCATAGTTCAAAAGAATCTATTCTTCGGCGCTCAGCCTTCCTTATAGTCCAACTCTCGCAGCCATACATGACTACTGGGAATACCATTGCTTTGACCATGCGGACTTTTGTTGGCAGGGTGATGTCTCTACTTTTTATCATGCTGTTTAGGTTCGCCATCGCTTTCCTCCCAAGGAGCAGGCGTCTTTTAATTTCATGGCTGCTGTCACAGTCTGCGGTGATCTGGGATCCCAGGAACGTGAAGTCTGTCACTACTTCCACGACTTCCCCTTCTATTTGCCAAGGAGTGATGGGACCGGATGCCATGATCTTAGTTTTTTTGATGTTGAGCTTCAAGCCCACTTTTGCGCTCTCCTCTTTTATCCTGAGGAACAGGCTCTTTAGGTCCTCTTCACTTTCTGCCATTAGAGTGGTATCGTCTGTATATCTGAGGTTGTTGATCTTTCCCCCAGCAATCTTAATTCTTTTGATTACACATCATTAATAAACCAGGTTTATCAGCACTCAGTAACTATATATTGCACTTCCATGCATGTAACTGAGCCCCACTGTTGTTTTCTAAATTAAACACAACTTTGGGAGGAGAAACTTTGAAGCACTGGGAGGATGCTTTCCCCCCCCACACACACCACTTCCATAATCCAACAAACGCCTTCAAATGGCTTCTTCCCACATGGGGTTTTAAAGTTTCCTTCGAATATGCATTTTGATCCCAAGAAAGGAAAGAATACCTAAGAAGGACAATTCAAAGTGAGGTAACAGCATGTGAGGAAGAAGTGAAGTATGTTTTCCTCCATCACATCTCCTCTGTCAATCACATCCCCCCCCCAATGCGGTTTATAAAACAAAAAGTGGTTTGGTGGAGGGGGAGGACATGGCCACACTGTGGGTACAGAGACGGGGGAAATGGCTGCTGTATTGGTGGAAACAGGAAGTCCCAAATTTTAGCACCCAAGCAACAGCCAATCTAGCCTTGCTGCAGTCCTTCACAAAACTTCACAGTACAGCAGGTTTGGGAAATATTGGAGAAAAGTCAGGGAAACCCCAGGAGGCGCACTAATACACCATGATGCTGTGAGGAAGCAGGAAAAAGCCCAGCTCCCAGCAGCAAATAACCAACGCAAATAACCTGTTTGGAAATGTCTTCTGTCAGCATGTCTGATCTTCCATAAAAGGGGAATCCACTGCTGTGTCAGAAAATCCCTAAACTGTAAAATTGCCCGATATGTTTTCACAAACACTGGGGACAAACACTGGGATGCCTATCCACCCCAGAGAAGCAGGATGTTCACCTCATACTCAGGGCCAAAATACGTTTGACATATGTCAGGAGTGGACACGTGCTCAACCTGACTCATAGTCAAACAGAGTGAGGTTTAATTTTTTTTTAAATTTCCTTGTCACCCAGTGTGGCCCCAAACACTGTAAGGGGAAGGAGAGGCCTCAGGATCTCTTCCCATCCATTTTCGTGGTCACATGGATCCAGAGGAAGCCAGGAGCCGACAGTCTCCTCCCTGCACCCACAGCCATTTCAGCTAGCAAAGATAGTGCTCCCTCTTTGCAGTGTTTAGAGCCACACAGGGTAACAAAGACATTTTTGAACGTTTTTAAAAATTAGTCCGTACCCTGATTGACTATGAGTCAGGTTGGGTGCCTGTGTCCCAACACACATCAAACATAACCTGTATTTTAACCCTTAGCAAGCATACTGCATAGAACTGTCCTACTAGAAGTACCTCTGACTTGCGATACCACAGACTCTACCCCTCAGGAGGGAAGAAGGGGTCTTTTCCTGATAAGAGAAGGACCTAAGGTAGCTAATAACTCTGTGCTCTCTGCTGTTTATGGAGATAAAGGGAAGTTTGAAGTGTCAAAGTAAGCCATTAATTTGAAGGGGGAGGAATATATGCAGTGTCACATCCTGGAACAAGGAAATTCCCTTGAAGCATTTACCAGATACTGAGATAGCATAACTTAGAATGGGGGATGTGAGGCTTGGCTTCAGTCCACAAGTGACAAACACAAAGGAAATCACACATCTGCATACAGGCATCCTAGGAATGGGGTTTCTTCAGCTTTATCAGTTTGGAGCTGGTTAAGTAAAATGACCAAATGCTAAAATTCTAGCCAATATAAACTAACTCTATTGCACTGACATAACCTGGTCTCCCCATCCCTGCTAGTATAAATCCCTAGATTTCTAATAGTATTTACATTATTGTTGTTGGATAGTCCCTGAATATCCCTTCTGATAAAAGACACAACCTGATCTTGAATGGTTAAGACTTATCCATTTATCTTTGGGGTATTTCCTGATATCAGTTAAATTTTAGACGTGGGAAAAGTTAACAGACTATGTGACTCAGTTTGTAATGAGATTAATATGATTAAGACTAGATGTGTATTTAAACTGATTAGAAGATCTCCTCTCTTGGGTTTTTAGTCAGTAGTGGGTATCTTTTCTTTATCCCCTTAAATGTAGTCCCCTTCCTTATTTCTGTTATAGTTTGTAGTTTTAATAAAAATGCAATAAAGATTCCCCTTTGGGGAGCAAAAAAAAAAAGACTTATCCATTTATAATGCCATCATTTTTCAAGAAGTGGAAGTTTATCTCCACTGCAGCAATGGTGTGCCAATATTTGGTCTCTTTAGGCCCTGTTCACATGAGGCATTTTGGGCCGGGAGAGGGACGGATCGGGGCCGCATCAAACGGGCGCGATCACACAGCAACATCTGGCAATCGTGCCGTGGCCGTCCCCGATCCGTCCCAACCGCCCAAAACGCGAATCAAAAAAGAACCAAGTACCTGGGTGGTTCAATTGAATGGGCCGCGGCAAATGCGGCCGTGGGATCGCCGGCGCGCCTTTTCACCGGCGCATCCCCTGCCCCCTGCCGTACTGCGCATGCTCGAGCATGCACAGTTCGGCAGCCTCCCCCTCCCACTCGTCTCTTCCTCCCCGGCATCTGATCGTGCCAGGGAGCAATGGCGCGTGGCTAACGGGATCCATGAGATCCCACCGCGGTGTTTCTTTTTTGGCGCGGCTTTTAAAAGCCGCGCTTCGCCCCGTGTTTTCCCTGCCGTGTGGCAGGGGCCAAAGTCTTTTTAAAAAATCCATTTTTCTTTAAAAGGTATACATCTCCTGTGCCCTTGCTGTTAACAGATTAAAAGGGGGCAAAAAGGTTTTCTACTGTACCAAGCCCCCCCCCCCCTTTGTTTTATCAGCAATTACTGCTTTGGCTGAAGGCATTCTCATTGCTCCAACTTTAGGACTGCCTTTATACAAGACATCCATAGATAGACATGAGAACCCTATACATTGCATACCTGATGTGGATGCAGATGTGCATTATGAGGCTCTTAAGAGTCCTAGAACTGGCAGGGAGCCTCTTTTCGGATGGAGAGGACTGTGTAACTATAGTTGAGGCTATAATTTTTTGTACAAAATTAATGCTAAATCAAATACACACAGATTTGCCAATTATTAACAGCTCAGAGTATTTACCAATTCCCTGTAGGTTTCATATTTTTTATATTAAGACATTTTTTGGACAAAACTAAGTGCTTGTTCTTAAATGCATTACAACTACTCTCGTACTATATCAGCTGCATTATATTATATTAAGTCAGATCTCCATCACAGTGGACTTGTTCAGATTTTCCCCAGGCAAAAGAACACTGACCTTGTTGAGAAAGGCAGGCAGGAATGAAGAATCATACTTCCTTCTCAGCAGCTTCTCAGAGAAACTTGTTCTCCGAAGGCTCAGATACTAATTTAAACAAGCCTTCTCTGGGAAATCTGTTTGAGGAAATCAGAAGTTCAAGTTTGTGGTTTCTCTTTCATGTTTGCTTCTTCTCCATCACAGCCAGTAATGTTTGAAATGCAGTTTTTAGCTCTGGGCTGGGAAATAACTCAAGATTTTGGGGGTGGAGCCTGAGGTAGGCAGGTTTGTGGAGGTGAAGGACTTCAGTGCCATAGAGTCCACCTTCCAAAGGGGCCATTTTCTCCAGATTTCTGTCACTTGGAGATCACTTGTAATCCCAGGAGACCTCCAGCGATCACCTAGAGGCTGGCAACTCTAGTTTGAAAAGAACCAAATCCATCACTCAGTGGCCAGGCTGGACACTCCCAGAGAAATCCTACTGGCTTGACAGAAGAAAGCTGGAAATGGAAAGACTTGTGCATCCAACCAATTGGCTTCCCATGTTGGTTCCAGCTGCCCGGGAGTAGGTGATAGGACTGAATCTTCTGAAGAAGAGAAAAAGAGATCGGGGGGGGGGGGTTCATGGTGCGGAAAAAGCCTGGAGAGTTTTGAGGCAACAAGTCCCTCAGAGAGTGGTATATGGACAGGGAGTCTACCCCCATTTTTATTTTAGCCACAGCCCTGGTGACGGCAGGCACTTTACTCCATTAAGTCAGGGGTTCCCAGACTGGTGGCCTTGGTACCATGGTGCCTGTTGACACCTTTTCTAGTCCTGCCAATTTTTTTAGAAACTGGGCTTTAAGGTATGCAATGACTCAGGCGTAGTTCTCACAGATATGGTAAAATTGAGTCAGGAATGTACCACTTTTGGATTCAAAATGAAACATTCTTTCATATTAAAAAGGAACAAGAGATGCAGTGTGATGTATTGGTTAGAGGACTAGTATCTGAGATACCAAGCTTGCTGGGTGACCTTGGGACAATCATACTCTTTCAGTCTAGTTTAACCTACCTCACAAGGTTGTTGTGAGGATAAAATGATGTAAGCCACTTTGGGTCCCTATTGAGAAGAAAAGTGGAGTATAAATAGTGGAGTATAAATAAAGTAAATCAATAACATAAAGAAACCCTCCTGTACATAGAAAACTAGATGTCAGGAAGAAGACTTCCAGCTTGGCATTTTCCCTGCCACGCTAGTTTTTTGTGTATCCTATGTGCAAAGATCTCTGCATGGATGCTGATGCTGTGTATGCCCCCCCTTGAATAAAGCTTGAGTAGGGGATACGCTGAAGAGTTTGAGAGAAACTGACTTGAACCATCAGCTGTGGCAAAACATGTACAATGCTTAAATATACATTTACATTTTACTAGTTGTCCCCTGAAGACCATAACATGATCAGGCACTCAGTGATTTTGCTTTTCAGGAGTTATAAAATAGCACTATAAAGAAAACTTATTATTGGCTGTTATTGAATTTCTGTGTTGCACAACCATTTAATGCCTATGTTTGAAGATTTGGTGGCATGGAGTAGATACGGATTAAAATTGTTCGAAAGCTGAGTTCTGTATTTGATTCAAGTACCATAATACCAGCTTTCATAAATTAGATTCCAAGCATTGCCTGAAGTATATAGAGCCCGTCTTTCTTTAACCAACTGTATCTTGGCATTCTGCATGTTCAAGTAAATAGTACTCAAGTCATAATATGAAGCCCATCCACAGAAAGTATTTGTTGCATTTCTGACCCAGATATTTTTCTGATGCAAGACCACCACCACATACCTTAAAAGGGATCTTCATATATCACTTTCAGTGGTTTCATCCTGGCAACACACTGTAGTTATTCAGTTCTGAGGGATCAGTAGCTGATCCTGCTGTTGTCCCCATCAGCTGTGCCACTGGCCAGGAGGCTTGCACAGGAGTGCACAGTCTGTGTCTAACAAAAGTATTCCATAAAGGGTGTCTGACCCAAGGGTAAACTTGTAAACCAGGGTAAAAGTAAACCATAAAGGGTGTCTGACCCAAGGCCCCTGCATTTTCTGCATGTAAATCTTGTACTATAAATGTACTTCCCATTATTTCTAGTTTTCTGTCTTGATTACCACATTCATAACCATTTTATTATTATTTTACTTTCATTTTTCCTCACAAGGCAAATGAAGACACAGCATAGTCATGTGCTCATCATGAGTCTTATGGGAAGTCCACAGGCATGACATTAATTGCTATTTTGCTTTTTTATGCAACTAATCATGTAGTTGGTTCTTTTTCACATGAAAAACATTCCTTCAGATAAATTCTATTTGCTGGGTGATTTTCCAGTCCTATCAATACATTTAATTCTCAGCATATCCAAATCTGCACATACTTAAATCCAGAGATTGGAGCCATGAACAGACAAGACAGCTGTTTCTACAAGCCTCAAAAAAAAGCCCCAGGTTTTCAGAAAAATCTAAAAAACACGTACACACTCACATCAGGGGTTAAAAACCCTAAATAATAAAAGCAGCAACTGTAGCTTTAAGAAACAAATTTGTTCTGCAGTGATCAATGTGGGAGTTGCTAGGCAAATACAGCCATAGCCAGACTTCATTCCTTGGTTTCTGTGAGTAAAAGGCAGGGGGAGGGGCAGGGCCCTTTCGGCTTTTTGAGGGAGGATGCATCAGGGCCAGGCCTGGCAGCCAACCACCCCTACCCGGTGACTTAATACTACAAAACTTCCATGACTCATCCAGGACTGCTTGCTTCTGTTCAACAGCAGCCACTCCACAAAAGCCAATGTGATGCAGTGGTTAGTTTCAGACTAGGATCTGGACGTTCCAGGTTCCAGTCACCACTCTACCATGGAAACTTACTCGGCAGCCTTGAGGTAGTTATTAGGGTTGCCAAGTCGTACCTTAAGCTGCAGCGGGGGAGTCCCGGCTCGCTCTGGGAGAGAGAGAGTGCACGCTTTTTCGTATGCACACCGCAAGCACGTCACCTGGAAGTGACGTGGCTGCGTCGGGTCATCCAAGGGGAAAACATAGGGTTTCCCCTTGGATGACCGTGGCCCCGCCCCCGGTGCGCCCGGCGTAGCTGCATCACTTTCAGATGACGTGCTGATGCCGGGCACATCCCATGCTTTGGGGGTGGGGTTCCCCCCGGGGCCCGATCCGGCGGCGGGGGGGAATGGGCCTCGGGGGCGGGGGGTTCCCTGCCCCCCGGGGGGACTTGGCAAGCCTAATAGTTATGCATTCTTGGCCTAATCTGCATTACAGGATTGTTGTTAAGGATAAAATAGATGTGAGGAGAGGAATATAAATTGCTTTGCATCCCTGTTGTTCTGAAGGGTAGGGTATAAATTAAGTAAATAAAACAAGATAGGGGGCAAATGAATGCTGACTGGTGAGTAGAGAGAAGGAAGCAGGAAAAAGTGAGTCTGTGAGGGTGTCCTGGCCGCCAGATGGGAGACTAGTCCCAGTAACCACAAAGTGTGACAGCAGGGATTCTGACATCATAGTCCAAAAGTGACAGTCCAGGGTTCAATAATACAATCAAAGGCAAAGTCAGAAGGCAATCTAAGGTCAGTGTATGTATTCCAAAAGGCAGAGCCAGCAACAATCCAAGCAACTGGTGGGATACTTAGCAAAACTGCAGACTACTTGACCCCACACTGGCTGCAGCCTCTCTGAAGCCTTATGTAGGGAGTTTTCTAACAGGTGCGGCTGGTTCCCACATTAGGCTCTTCCCTATAAGCTGAGTCTACTCCTTTGTAGATGGATCCTCCGACCAGCTACAATGTGTGTGTGATTAAATATTGTATGTTGTCTTCCCTATCCCCCACAAATATATTGTTAGTCCATTGTCTCTGAGTAACTGTCAATCGCTCTGATCCCGCATGAGTGGGAAAAAGCGATAAATAAATTGAAAGTATTATTATTTGTTCATGAGAAATACTGGGGCCCAAATCTTGTGGGGACTACCAGTCTCTTCTAGCTTTTCCTTAGATGAGGGGGTCTGTGGGCTACTAGGCACGCACTCCTGTGCTCAGTCCATGACTTAGCCCTTCACCTCGTCTGCTCTTGGGGTGCTTCGGGAGACTGGTGGATCTGGTCATGGCTAGGTCTATGCTGGGTCCTCCAGACCTGGGGGCAGTATTGGTGCTGGTTCAGGGTCCCTTTGGGGACCCTATGGCCCTGGGACCCCCGCTTTAAAGGAAGGGTCTGCCAAGGCAGGGCTTGGGATTGATTTGTCAAAAGACGTGAAGCCCAAACCACCAAACCAAGGCAAGAGCTTTTTAGGGAGGGCTGGCCAAGCAAAACAACCAAAAAAGGCTGAAGTGCACCTCAGGGTAGTTTTGTCACCAGTCCCTTCTACTATCCAGACCGAGGGACAAAGGCTCAGGCCCCCCTGGAACTAAAGTCATGTAGCAGTATCCATTGAGGGATAAAGTACTGGAGATTGATTGAAGCCTCCTGAATTCAAGAACTCCACAAGAAGAGATTTATTTAAAACTGTGCAGAAATAATCAAAGCAGAGCAGTGAACAGTGAAGATAAAATAACAAAGTTAAAAGTCTAAGTACTTTTACCAACAATGGTTCAAGGTTTCAGATATTACCCAGCAGCAGACTGAGGCATTCAAGGTTTCAAGCTTCAAAGTCCAAGATAAGGTTTCCAGTCAGTAAGACCCACCAAACAAGACAGCACCCAGGGTCATCCAAACACAGTGCCAGTAACCAGCAATCACCTGAGGCAGTGGCCCTCAGGCCAATACAAAAGCTTGTAGCAATGACTTAGAGCAAAAACTGAAATGAAACCCTTTACTTTATGCCCCAGGACTAGTGTAGGCTTGATCAGGGGTCGTTTCGTAGAAAAAGAGCTAGGGGAACTCATTAGCATAACTCATTAGCATATGCCACACCCCCTGACATCACCGGAAGTGTGTCATAAGGCCACACCCTCTGACATCATGGGAAGTGTGTCATAAGGCCACACACACCGCTCCCAACGGTCCCAGCCACCGCTGGCGGCCTTGCAGCTCCACTGCTGAGCCCCATGAGGGGCCCAGCGGTGGACCTGCAAGGCCGGCGGGAGTGCAAGGAAGCCCCGCGAAGGCTCTCCCTGGCCCCAGGCAGGCAGGGGTGGGGAGAGGCAGGGAGGAAGCAACTTA